AAAATAGATACTCCCTCCGTCCTATAATGATCTTCCCAGAGCACTATTCCAACTTCACGGGAATTTATATTTATTTGTGTTTTTTCATGGCCTATATGATAAAATAAAATATTCTTGTCACCACTTGTTTTGTTGAACTTTTGGTGTAGTTTTTAAATATGTATGTTTTATTTTTTATTTCTATACCAATATTTAAATAAAATAGATTGAAAAAACTTGGGACTTTTCTTCGTTTTGCGAACCGGGAAGATCATTATAGGACGGAGGGAGTAAAATTTTGCTTGTTCTTCGAAAAGGATTTTTTTGAAAAGTACTACATTTTTTCTAGAGCATTTGTTTGGGGCACAACTTGAGATATACTTTTGGGTCATGCTACACTTATACCACAAATTATACTCCATTTGTACAGCAGTTATACACAAACATTTTGATGGTTTACACCGACACAAGTGTTGGTGCATTAACAAAAATTAGTTTTATACCAACACTTTGTGTTGGTGCAAAGCTGCGGGGTACAAAAGTTGGGGTACAAATAGCTTAATCCTATACTTTTTGGTGCACCCTGACATGGTTGAACAAAGGGATGGGTATGTGTACACACTGATATAAGAGCCAAGCATAATCTACAGAATATAATGACCACAAATATAATGAATTCAATGTCTTTTTGAGTCAATAATAATAGTCCACATTATATATCTCTCTATCTATCAGTAATTTAAAATACAAATCACACCCAATCTATATTATGTAAAACCCACATTACTAAACAAGTAGTCAGTCCTATTACACACACACTTCCAATCACAAAACAATGCAAACAATCCTCTACCACTACAATTTCACCCACAAAGTCTGGTGTGACCATTACAAAGATCATCCTCACCATCTCTCAGTAAACCTTCTCGTCCGGGGGATGGAATATGCCTTCCTCTTCCTCCCCGCTGTTCTGCCGAGAAGTGTCGCCGGCATATTTCCCGTTAGTCTGCCGCGGAGGCGACCTTTCCCGGTGCTTGTATGATCTTCTGAGGCTCTCCGCCTTGGAGCCGTAGTGGTTCTCCGCCTCGTACGCTGGCGGCAATCTCTGCTTCCCGGCGGATGTTCCTGCCCGGGATGCCGTGGCCGCCTCGTGGAAACTCCGGCCTTCGCGGGACCGGTCAAACCTCTCGACACTGCGGCTGCGGGACCGGTCAAACCTCTCGACACTGCGGCTGCGGGCCCTACTCCTACTACCATTGCCGCCACCGCCGCCACCCCATCTTGAAGCCCCCCTGTTTGGGCTTCTGCTCCGGCTGCGGCCAAACCTGTCGGAAGTGGGGTTATGGTTACTACCGAGAGCATTGTTGTCATGAGTGCTGTGGCCATGTCTGCATAAAGAAAAACATCAAACAAAAAGAAGAATAATCTCTACCTTGTTTCATGTGAAGAGTGATGGTTCATATACTTCTTTTTGGCCCCTGACACTTTCAAAGAAACTATAGAACTTATTTTGTGTGGAACCAAATCCGATGGAGTCGTGGTATATTTGACTAAATTGAAAGAATCTGATTTATCTTAAGTATATTTTTTAAAAATAAAATTGATGAAAAGGATTAAAATATGAAGGCTTAAGTGTCAATTTTCATCCACTTAAGGACCAAAAAAAAATACAATTCTATAAAAAACCAGTAATAGTTTTCCATGTAATTTATAAAAAAATTACAGAAAGGAAGAGTTTTCATTACCTGTCGCTTGAATCACGTTCGAATCCATGACCACCGCCGCCTCTACCTAATGAGGAAGACATGCCCAAACTTCCCCTTGCGCCCCCATCGCGCACGCCATTGCCTGAATCATTGCGCCCATGTCCTCCTCCTCCTCCTCCTTCGCGTCTAGCTGGGCCAGACCTCCATGCACGCCTGGCCTTTCCCCTTCCACCACTGCGTGACCTGACATCCCTTAGTTCAGCAGGAACACGTTGATTAGCACCTTCTAAGACCTTGATGAGGTCGGCTGCATATTTGCCATCCTGGTCGGTGAAAAAGGTGTACGCAACACCAGTTGCTCCTGCCCGTCCCGTCCTTCCTATTCTGTGAACATAATCCTCTATTCCGGTAGGGAAGTCATAATTTATTACGACCCTGTGACAGATGCCTAAAACAATCAGTGTCCATTTGGAACACAAAGAGGGGAAAGCCCCAAATTAAACGTCCACTTTGACTGAACACAAAGAGGGGAAAGCCCCAAATTGCTACTATATAAAGATTAAAAAATCCAAATATGAATAAAAAAGAATTAAAAATTAATTTTCTTTATTTCTTTTTATCTATATCTGGCATTTTCTGAGATCCAAAAACACGTGGGGGAGAGGCATGTTTACATCTAAGTGACAAAAATCAGTGTTTTAGACAAACCTGATATCTTTGATGTCCAAACCACGAGCAGCAACATCGGTTGCCACAAGAATTGGGGACCTGCCAGTGCGAAACTGTTTTAACACATAATCTCTCTCGCTCTGAGATTTGTCTCCATGAATAGCTGCTGCCCCAAATTGACGAGTAAGGGTACCAGCAAGTGCATTGCACATCTTCTTTGTTGAACAAAAAATGATCACTTTGGATCCTGGTTCTTGAGATCTTAATATATGTTCTAGCCTCCTCGTCTTCTCTGCTTGTGGCAACACTTCAATATACTGACAGGAAGTGAGGGCAATAGAGCAGAGTTACTGAAAGCTACATATAAGAACACATCTTCTGCCTGCTATTAGATGTCCCCGCCGAGGTTTTCATAATTCATAAGAATAATCTGATTGAGGTGCTTAAAATTGTGTTGTTAAGATTTGTTTAGAAAAGTTAGAAAGAATAGTGTCTACATAGAAAGAATAAGATTTATTTCCTCAAAGGGAATGGGGGGCTTATTTGAGGACATCCATATAAGGCAAGTGAGGACCTTAAATTGGGAGGGAGTGCAGACTACATAGTAAAATTTCATAAAACAAATTTGCAAGTAAAACATGGATGGAAATTGAAAGGTAAAAACCTGTGTAATAGCCTTGTTTGCAACAAGCTCATCAACATTCCCAATGTTAACCTGCACAGGATTAACCAGCAGATCAGCAGCAATTTTCCGGACCTCCTTTGGCCATGTTGCTGTGAACATAAGAGTTTGCCTCCGAGCAAGGACCTCCTTCACAATCTTCCTTATTTGAGGTTCAAACCCCATGTCCAACATACGATCTGCTTCATCTAACACCAAGTAGGAAACCTGCTTAAGGCTAATTCTTCGCATTTCCAGAATGTCATTCAAACGTCCAGGAGTGGCCACTACAACATCTACCCCTCTATCTACATCCCTCAGTTGTGGACCCTTTGGTGCGCCTCCATATAAACACTGTCCGTGTAGCATGAAATTACAAAAAAAATGAAGATAGATAATAAATGCATAATACTGCAAGAAGTAAGAAAATGAATGGAGAAAGAGTTAACATAAATAAAATAAAATAAAATAAACAAAACTGATTATCGATTGTTTCATGCATTGATGTGGCTACAATACCATTTCCTTTCTGGAAGAATAATTTAAATGGGAATGATTGGATAACTTCAAAAAAACATTTAGCAACAATTAACAAGAAAACAGAAAAACACTTTAAAGTATAAAAATGACCTAAGTGCTTAAATGAGAATGCACTAATGATAAAATCACTTAATTACAAGTCATCCCAAACAGGCTCCTAAGATGCTCACAAAAAACACATACTGTGCAAGATATCTTGTAAGATTTACTGAACTTCACAGCTTCCTCTTGTATCTGTGTTGCTAACTCCCTTGTGGGTGACAAAACTAACACGGTGGGACCCAATCGAGGATTATTACGGCACTGTTTCAGATGTATAAAGCCAGGGATAAGGTAGCCCAATGTTTTTCCTGAGCCAGTCTTAGCAATAGCTACAATATCTCGGCCCTGAAGAACTATAGGCCACGATTGGGCCTGTATCGGTGTAGGAGCTGAAAACCCAGCTTGATGTACCTAAAGACGCAAAAAATTCACCACTCCCATCAATAGATATAAAAACTTCTTCACATTTTTGGAATGTCTTGTGCTTGACTTAGAGTGGCCCACAGCAAGAAGAATCATCCCCCTTACATAGGCAAGCTAAGAGCAGGAGGACGCCTCTTCTTCCATTCGGACCACGTGGCAAATTGACTCATCACCAACAGCAGTCCTGGCCACAAACATGGATGACAAGAAATCCCTTCATGAAAATTGGTCCTCGAAATAAGGGCACTCCAAAGTCATGAAAGTACTCCAAAGCAGTGTACGACATTTAGCTCCTCCCAGGAGCAAATATCGCACTGCCACAAAATTGAATAGGCAAAAAACTAATTTTTGAGTGCTACAGTTTGACCGAGGCCTTCCGCAAGCCGCAAAATGTTTCAGAGGAACATGTGCTCTCAGATCGTTAACTTTGCAGAGCACAATTCACCAGGGATTTAAAGAGAAAAAATGACTCCTGGAATACCTCTCTCAAAATCTCCGATGGAAACCCAGTTGAGTGGAATGACATCAACGGTGGAGGCACATTATCTCCCTGAAACAAGAAAAAAAATAGATGACCATAATGCAGGCCGTTCATGAGCAAACAAGTTTTCACGCTTAAATATACTACATGCCTTCATTTTAAGGAATGAAAAAAGAAATAGTCAAATGAAATAAGTATACAACTGTTGCTTGTTTAGGTAAAACTGATTAATACAGGAGCTGAATTCAAGATTAAACAGAAGGTAAATTACAGCAAATCATTTAGTAAGATTATTTTTCTCCATGGGGAGAGGTCAAACACAAAGCTACCAAGACCAATGACAATGTAAAGCAAATGTGAACCTAACACAAATAGATATGCCTGCAGCTTTGTAAAATTGTTAAGAAGTGTACCGTTACGGATATTTCATGACGACGGCGATAAGAATCTGGAGATAATTCACTTCCCGCATTTGATGAGCTATCTTTATAAGCAGATGAACCATTTCCTACTGCAGATGTGGTGTTTGAAATGCCACGAGAATGGTCAAAGTTATTTCTTTCAGTCTGCAAAACATACATATATAATGAAAAATGAAATTGTATTGAAAAGGAAATGAGAGCAAATCTATTATAAACATTCTAGATTCAGAGAAACAACAACAAACAATAACAACAATAAAGCTATCTCACTAGGTAAAAAAAATATGTATAGCTTTTAAATTGCAGTCCAGCCTCATAAAGAACATCATAATTAGATGAAAATTGATCATACCATCAATAAAAATTATGTTTAAACATATCCATTAGACATTAAGGCAGCGTCTAATCCTTCCTACAATTATGCGGTGTAGCGCTCCCCTGAGATACCATATTGATGCCTCAACTTCATTTGGGCATTACCTAATTGTAGCAACTCACCACAAGGTTGCCCCAAGCTAGTTAAACCGCATTAGCTTGGGATTGCACGGGTTAATTTTTGTTTATTAGCAGATGTATTCTAAGCAGAACCCATCAATTCTACAAACCAGGCACACCTTTTGGAAATCGTGGTCGCACACTTCAGCACGCTGACCACTCTCAAATGGTCTCCTTTTCTCTTACTTAAAGCCAGTCCATCAGACCCCAACGAAGTTCAGAATTTATGATAATACTAAGGTTGTTGATCTTGTGTCTCCATGTAAGTTCTAAATTAAACTCTTTCAAGCTCTGAATTTTTTGTATTTCACCCAGAACAACACTTTCCAGTTCTCATTTTTCTATTCTTTCAATTGTTATCAAGGTGTAAAGTCTAAGAGTTCTAGCGCTAGCAACTTTTGATTGTGCAAGTTCGACTCGCCTAAAGGGAAGATCGTGTGCTCGACAATGTTCAACACACCTGGCCGATGGTCAAACACCAATTGGGAAGGTCGAATGAATGTGTCAGAGAATTCCAAAAACATGGTCATTGGTCAGTCTCCTGCATTCATCAAAGAGCCATGGTACATTTATTCCACGCCATAGTGGAAAACACCAGGGTGACATGTAATCTCATTGATAGACTTTTTTTGACCAAGTTAAGAGACATTCGAAAATGTTAGACTTGCTTGGACCTTGTTTATACCTTGGTCGACCAAGACACCAGTCCCCACCCCCTTTGAACATGGACTCAAGGCAAAAGTCCTTGGCCATAGGATACCACCTAAAGCTCACTTCAACCAAGGCATGTTGTCCGCCCTTCACTGACACAGATTGAAGTAGATGTTTGTTCAGCCAAGGGACTGAAGCTGTTCAACTTTGGCCATAGGTTTTAACCACAGCATGGTCAATATTTTGCAATGACTAGTCAATGTTTTTGTTTCAGATTTTTAATTTGCATTTATCTCTAAGCAAGTACTTTCTACTTCCCAAAATAAAGTTGCTCATTTGACTTGGTGCGGTTATTAATACAGGTGAAATTGTGTGGTTGAGAGTTGTGCAAAAGAGAAAAATAATGTGAAAACCACAATTATTTTCTCAAAGGTAAGTTGGAATCTTATTTGAGACAAATCAAAAAGGAAATGCAGAACCTTTTTTGAGATAGAGGGACTAGGGAAGTAGCTTTATTTACATTAAGAATAGTTCAGAGTGTGTACTTTCAACTCTCTATGTCCCACAAAAAAAATCTTGTTTGGCGTTCACAAATTTTACGAAAGCATTAAAAAGTGAAAAGTGAGTCATAAGAATTGTTTAGATGATAGAAGTTTTTGAGCCACATGTTCAATTCATAAAAAAGAAATAAAGTAAGATAAGAAAGCTCGTGTTCGTCAACTGCATGTGGTAGAGATGCAAATGCTGCAGAGGGAACAAATCTACTTTTGAATTTTTTCATAGGTTAGGGTTTTCAGCTCTGGATTCTGCCATCCTTTACTCCAAATGATAGTCGCCACCACGAGTCATCCATTCCCAACAACCCAACACGTAGTCAACGACTAATCGATGTCCGTTCTTGTTTGCCATGGTGATAGATGTCCTATCGCATGGTGTTCAACGCATGGTGTTCAAAAGGATGTCCCTTAGTGCATGCTGGCAATATTGTACTGATCGACGAGAGTCGTGAAGGACTCAATGTTAAGTTAGAGTTTTGGTGTCAGACACTGGAATCTAAGAGCTTTAGATTGAGCAGGACTAACACCAGTACTTGGAGTGTGGGTTTAGTGGGCGGGTGTCAAGGCTCAAAGGTGGAAGTTAGGATTGATGCACACCCTCTACCTAAGAGAGATAAGTTAAGGTACCTTGGCTCGATCAGTCAGGCAGATGGTGAGATAGGGTGTTGTTCATCGTATCGAAGCTACATGGGCGAAGTAAAAGTTGGCGTCAGGTTCTGTGTGATAAGAAAATTTGAGAAAGGATGAAAGGTGGGTTCTATCGGTCCGTAGTCATATCGGCTATGCTTTATGGAGCGGGATGTTGGGCGGTCAAAAAGGCCCACGTTCGTCAACTCCATGCGGCTAAGATGTGTAAGCTTTTGTGGATGTATAGGCACACAAGGTTGGATAGGATATGAAATGAGGTTATTCAGAGACGAGTGGGAGTGGCTCGTGTGGAGGATAAGCTACGCGAGACAAGGCTGAGATGCTTTGGTCACGTGAAGTGGCGTGAACCTGAGGCCCTGTTGTGGTGATGCAATAGACTTTAGATAGTAGATGAGTCTAGGGGAAGGGGTAGGCCTAGGAGGAACTAAAAGGAGGTTCTTAGGCGGGACTTAGGACTTCTGGCTCTTACCGAGGATATGACCTTAGATATGAACATTTGGAGATCTAGAATTAGAATTGTTGGGTAGTCGTTTTGTCCGGAGTGGTAGTTTTATTCTCTTCGATGTGTGCTTTGTAGGCTTGTTATCTTTCTTTTTATATCTATTTATGTGCCTTTTATCTTAGCACGTTTTTCTTACCTTTTTGTTTGCCCCTTGTGCCTTTGTTGTATTGTGCTTTTGTTGTACTAGTTGTTCTCTGTGTTTCTTGAGTTGGGGTCTCTTGGAAATAGCCTCACTACCTTTAGTGGGGGTAAGGTCCGCGTACACATACCCTCCCCAAAGTACCAAACCCTGCCGTTGCAGGATTCTACTATGTTGTTGTTGTTATTGCAATACACTATTCGAATCATATTGGGTGCAAGAAGAGGATGCAAATTGTATTACATATACTCTACACAATGCAAGAGTGTATATTGCTTTTTAGTTCGTCAAATTCAGATAAAGGCATTATTCTTGTTATGTTTAATGAAGATAAACTTAACTTTTTGAGCAGCATACAATAAAGGACAAGATGATCGCATAAGGATATTAAGGTATAAGGTTTGTATTTAAAATATTTCCTAAAGAGTCATCAAAATGTTTCGGCTTGAGCCTCTAAGCGTCATGAGAGGAGTAAGCCCCTTTGTTCTGCATCATTTAGCAATGCCTCGAATTTAGGTGTGCTTACACTGATACCACATTTTTTACCATGGTCGCAGCATAACATTCATTGGAAAAAACAGGTTATATAAACAATTCACGTGCACAAAAACACAGTAATAGCAGATGAAAGCAGAATTACCTTATAGTCCTCCCTACCAGAACCCTTACTTGAACCGCAGTAACCTCTGTCATATCTATCATCAGCATTGTCTCTGTGGTGTCCTTCGGAAGATTTCTGAACAGAAGAACTTACATACCCAGGCCTATCGTACTGAGTAACATTGGTCTCTGGATTCCAGTAGTAAAGATACCCAGTCTTGCCATCAACAAGGCCTCTCCAAGGTTTAGGGAGAGAAGGGTCCTCAGGTGCGAAGCGTGGAGAATCAGATGTTGTTTCTGTCATACCAAAGCTATCTTTGGACCACCTGGAGAAGTTGAGATTCAAACAATCAAACAGAGGGACACGTAATCACGCACTAAAAGACAGCACAGTTTCAGTGTTTCCTATCCCTCACTTGCACAAAAACACACAGACACACTACGGCTGCACATGAGCACAAAGGGTATGGAACAACATGACTACGTTTTGAAAATGATAACACACAAGGCAAACACAGATGACTAAACACACAAAAAGAATCACCTAATCCAATCAGAAGCTCAACTAAAACAAACAATAAGAATGACATCAAATTTGAAAAGCCCTCCATCCATGCAGTAAGGCGACCAACTCCTTCCTAACTCAATTCAAGAGATCTGCTCATACTAACCATACAACTTACAAAACAAGCTATAAAACAAAAATCAAACAGCTATATAGTATTGGATGGGAAAACAAGTGCGAGGCAAACAGACAAAAATCAAATGAATAACGATCTCAAACCCTAGATACCAATTCGAACACAAAGAAATGGATTTTTTACGCGTTTATACAAATCAGTCAGCTCAGATCTCGAACGCGTCCGAATCTCAAAGACGAAATGCAATTCTAGCGGAAATCGTGCGTCGCTTAGATCCCGAAAAAAAGAGCGATTGAGAGATGCGATTAAATGCTCGACGGGTCCGACGGTTTTGCTCGTCCTCTATCTTTGACTCGTGTATGTGCGAGCAGGAAATTGAGCAAAACAATTTGAGCGCGATGGGAGAAAGACGGCGACCGCGCTTCCTGATTCTGAAGCTCCAAAAGTCAGAAGCTTTTGGTAGGATAAAGGAAGAGGTTAGAGACGTCACAGTTGAGAGAAGGGGGGAATTTAAGTGGAAAATCTACTCCTTTATCTCTACCTTTGGAACTACTCATAGTCTCGTACTATCACTCTTTCTCACCAATCTCTTATTAAAATTTAATTTAATTTTTTCTCCGTGATCGTCTAACCGGATCAAGGGGACCCTCGAGCTCATCCTTTTTTGTGGAAAAGATTTTGGTTGGTCGTGCAGTTGACAAAGAGCTAAAGAGTGTCACGAGAGAAAGACTTGAGTTTGACTTCTGGTCTTTTTAAGTATCGCGTGCAAACTACATTCTTTTTGTCTCCTCTTATTCACCGTCAGACGAATATGAGAAAATTCTCGAGATGGGACTCGTCCTTTTTTGGAAAAAATTTTGGTTGTCTTGTCGAGTTAGCAAAAGCATAGACAAGCATCGTCAATCGAATGAGATTCGAGTTTAATTTCTGACAACTGTGTGAATAGGCAAATATGTCTCTTCAAGTACCATGTGCGAGCTTTATTCCTTTTCATCAATCTGCAATCAAAGTTCAGTTTAACTTCTTTCATCGTTGAGGGGCCATCATGATTGGGGCAATCGTTGAAATAGATTGTGCCCTAGTTCAACTCGTCGAAAGGATAATGTTACAAAAATAAATTTAGATTTGACTCCTTAATATGAAGTTAAAAGGGGTTATGTTGCATAGAAATTTTGCATGTACTATTAATATACTCCCTCCGTCCTAAAATTAACTTCCCATTTGACTTTTCACGGTCTCCAATGCGACACTTTGACTATCAATATCTCAATTTTGATATAAATATATTTTATAAAAATTATATATTTCAAAACTATGTTTCAAAATGAATCTATTGCTAATAAATTTATATGAAAATTCAATATATTCTTTCCATAATATACAGTCAAAGTTTAAAAAATTTGACTCCAAAAGTCAAACTGGGAAATTAATTTTAGGACGGAGGGAGTATTTCACAATCTCGACCAGACTGAAATTATAATTTAATTTACCTTCTTTCAACCTATTTCTCAAGAGAATATTACTGTAGGAGATTCCGCGAAAAAACATTCACCTCTTTTTTTTTTTGGAAAATCATAATCCTTTATATATATAAAGCAGAGTCGGAGCTATAAGAACGTGACATTTGGCAGAGCTAAAGCACGACATGTGGCGAGCTGATGTGGCGACATTTGGCAAAGCCAGTTCTTTTTTTGCAATTTTTTTCCAAAAGCATACCACCATGGGGTTTGAAACAAGGATCTCTTGGTCATTTAGTTGAGTTCCTAACCATCCAAGCTATGGTGCTTTTTGTTACAATCTCACTTAAGCTTTTATAATGTTTCATAATTAAAAAAGGATTGTATAAAAATTTCTTTTTAGTTATAGAAAATATAATCCTTTAATATAATATTTGAGACTCCGTTTGCTAGAAAATCACCAAGTGTCAAACTTATGTGGGCTATATTAAGGTGAGATGGCAAGTCTTTATTGGTTGTTTATGTGGCAAATTTTATTAATGATGAATTGACCTTTCTTTTTATTTTAAAATAGATATTTAAAATGATTTCAAATTTTGGAAAAATTTTACGTTAAACAAATAAAGAATTCATTACTTCGTGACATTAGTTGAGTATTTATATTTTTTATTTTTAAAAAGCAATTCATCTATTTATTTGTTATGATGTGATAAAATTAATTATGTTATAAAATCAAATTTGTGAAAGATAAATATAGTATTGTCCGAAATAAAATTTTTAAAGGAAAACAATTATACAAAATATAATTTTATGATAAAACTTATTATGATGTAGCAAACAATTAGTGAAAATATAAAATTGGTATTATCATCTACCATTTCAAGACTAGCATTTTTTATGAATCAAATTTTTA